AATATACATGTGCATGCATATATGTGTATTATGGATGACAGGGGGTGTTTATAATCAATCCTGGTGGTGTGGACCTGTAATTACTGCTATTCAGGAAGCTGAGGTAGGAGGATGAAGAGTTTGAGGTCAGCTTGAGCAACATCAGAAGACTCTGTTTCAACACAAAAAAATGAAATTAATAAGGGCTACAGAGCCAGGCAGTAGTGGTGGTGATCCCAGCACTAGGGAGGAAGAGGCAGGTGGATCTCTGTGAATTTGAAGCCAGCCTGCTCTACAGAGTGAGTTAAAGGAAAGCCAGGGCTACACAGAGAAACCCTGTCTCAAAACAACAACAAAAAAAAAAAAAAAACAAACATTGGGGGTTGATGAAAAGAGCTTAGCAATAGAGAACCTGTCTAACATGTAAGGGGCCTTGGGTTCAATTCCTAGTACCAAATAGAAACAAAACAAACAAATGTGAAGATGAGGATAAAATGAGTATTTGTATGTTCTTGGTAAAGGTGCAACTTAGCACAGCCATATGGAAAACAATATGAAGTACTTCTTAATACTCCAAGCAGAACTACAATATGATTCTGTAACCCTCCTCCCCATACTTTGTATATATTTGACAGAAAGGATTGCATCTAAGATGCCCATGCTTTGTTTTGTTCTGCTTGAGTTAGGGTTTCATTATATTTCTCAGACTGGCCTCAAATTCTCTATCCTTCTACCTCAGCTTCTTGAGTGCAGAAATACGTCATGACTTTTGGCTTTCCATGTTTCTTTTGGCATTATGCACAATAGCTAGGATACAGAATCAGCCACCATGTCTATCAGTGAATGAATGATTAGATAAGGAAAATGTGGTACATAGCATAATAAAATATAATTCTGGAATAAAAGAATGAAAACTTGTAATTTTCCAAAATGGGCAGTCATGTTTAATAAAATTAATCAGTCACAGAAAAGACAGATAACACATGATCCTCTTAAAAATTTTTCATTGGGTTGTAAGAATGGTTCAGTGGTTAAGAGCACATTCTGCTCTTGCAGAAGACCTACATTCATGACAACTCAAAACCACTTGCTACTCCATTTTCAGGGGATCCAAAGCCCTCCTCTGGCCTTTGCAGGCTGCTGCATGGATGTAGTATTGCACATGAACTCACAAAAGCACGGAACTCACACGGAAACATGAAAATAATTATATTTTTAAAAGTCTGAGCTGGGCAAGATGGTGTGCACTTGTAATTCTACCACTTGGGAGCTAAAGAGGGGCAAGGGATGGAGCATGCAAGTGCAGCCTGAGCCTCATAGCAAGGTCTTAACTCAGAACAAAGCTGAGACTTGGTCCATTGTTAGGATATTTGCCCAGCAGGCTTTCAGCCCTGGGTTCAGTACCCACTATATCAATAATATGAATGACAGGAAGGCCAGATATGACAGTACATGCCTTTAATCCCAACACTAGGAAGGCAGAGGCAGGTGGATCTCCTTGAGTTCAAGGCCAGCCTTGTGTACATAGGTCCAGGCCAGCCAGAGCCACACAGTGAGACCCTATCTTAAAATGGTAATTTTTTGGTGCATTCCACACCTAAAATCTTTTTATTAAATTCTTGTTAGTCCTAAAATAAGGCTTAAGCTCCCTTCCCCCCTTCTACTTCAACTGCCAGAATACTGGGATTACAGGCATATACCACCACACCTGGTACCTTAGGCTATCCAGCACAATTGATCCCTTGCCCACTTGACACATCTTTCCTTCATGTTCATCCCCAAGATCACACATTCATTTAAACATCACTAAAATTTTACTAACTTAAAACTTAGTTCTATATACTTGCTTACGTTCTATATACTTGCTTACAGCCTGATCTTAGGGAGGCATTTTCTTAATAGCCTTACAAATTCACACTTTATAGTGATCTGGTCTTGTCTTTTCCACCCCCACCCCACTTTTGTTTTTTGAGACAGGCTTTCTCTGTGTAGCCTTGGTTGTTCTGGAACTCACACTGTAGACAAGACTGGCTTCAAACTCATGGAGATCCACCTGCCTCTGCCTCCCAAATGTTGGGATTAAAGGTGTGAGCCACCTGCTCTTTTCTTAGTCACAGTTGATTCTTTTGCTCCATTGTCCCAGCAAAGTAAAGGTTTTGCTTTGACCTGGTGCAGTGGCACACATCTGTAATCCCAGCACTCAGGGAGTCAGAGGTAGGCAGAACTACAAAGTGAGTCCAGGATAACAAGCTACACAGAGAAACTCTGTCTCCAAAAACAAAAAAGGTTTTACTTTGGTGGTCCTGGTCTCTTGTTAATCACATCCAATTCTTCAGATATCACAGATTCTTCACACAAAAAGCCTAGTAGAGTCTTTGCTTCCTCTGAAACTTCAGAAGCCAGGGCTCCACCATCTGCACTGCTCTCAACATTCTTATCTTCCAAGCTCCTACTTAATATCCCACTGAGTTCTCAACACTCAATGGCTCTTCTAGCTCAAAGTTCCAAAGTCCTTCAACAGTCCTCACCAAAAATGGCCCGGTCTGTCACAGCAAGACCCCATTACACTGGCATCAACTTGTCCTTGTTTGGGTTTCTATTGCTGCAATGAAACACTATGACGAAAAAGCAAGTTGTTGAGGAAAGGGTTTGTTTTACCTACACTTCCATATAGTTTTTCATCACTGAAGGAAGTCAGAACTGGAACTCAAACAGGGAAGAAACCTGGAGGCAGAAGCTGATACAGAAGCCATAGAGGGGTGCTGCTTACATTTTTTGTTTTATGTTTTGTTTTGAGGTAGGGTTTCTCTGTATAACAAAGCCCTGGCTGTCCTGGACTCACTTTGTAGACCAGCTGGTCTCAAACTCACAGAGATCTGCCTGCTTCTGCCTCCTCAGTGCTGGAATTAAAAGTGAGTGCCACCACTATGGGCTCTGCTTTCTTATAGAACCTAGAACTTCCAGCCCAGGGAAGGCCCCATCCACAATGGGCTGGGCCTTCCCCCTTAAATCACTAATTAAGAAAAATGTTCTATATACTTGCTTACAGCCTGATCTTAGGGAGGCATTTTCTTAATCAAGGTTCCCTTCTCTCAGATGATTTTAGTTTGTGTCAAGTTGACATAAAATTATCCAGCACACTGGCTAAAAACCTAGACTTAAAAAACAAACAAAAGCCTAAGTGTAATGCCAAGATCATGATCACAGGACCCTCAGAGACCACCAGGAGACAGCTTGATACAAGAGCAAGAGAGCTTTATTATGAGAGTGATCAAACTCAGGACCCAAGTCTCACTGACACAGGAGTAGAGAAGTGGGACCCCAGCCCTGAGTGAGCAGGGTTTTTTAAGGGAAAGACTGTAAGCAGAGGGTTTCCATGACAGCAAGCAGGGGGGTACATGTTTTCATGAGAGAAAGCAGGGGGTTCATGCCTTGACATTACAGAATTGGGTAAAAGCCATAGGGGAGAGGTGGCCGTTTATATAATGACAATTGCCAGGGTGATTGTCCCTATTTTTTACTAAACATTTATTCAGTAATATTTCCTGGAGGCCGTTGCTTGGAGAGCTAACTTTGTTTTCTGCCAGGTGCCCATTCTGTCATATTTCCTGTTACCTGAGTTCAGCTCCTGGTCAAGATGGCTCCTTATTTCAAAATGGAGTCACCAGGCTAACTTAAACTCTTCATAAGCATTCACCAAAATAAGTAACTGGAGTCTTTATCACATTGACTTACAGTTCCCTTTGCCGTTTTACTCTGGCACTCAACAACATCAGGGACCGTTTGCTGCACTATCAACTGATGCCTGCCGTTGAGTGACAGAGTAAGATATTTTCCAGAGTCATTTTGGGAAGTATTGGGGGGCGTTTTCAGAGCTTTGCAACAACCAGGATGCTGAGCTTTATTTGACCTTAAAAAACTGTCTAGGACAGAAGCGGTCCACAGCTTTTTCTAGATTTCTGCTCCCCAACCCCCGCCCCGCCCTGCAGCAGCCTGCTTGCCTAGTGTCCCCTTCATGAGTTTGCATCTATAGAGGATTTGCTGAACCTGCAAATGCACTTTGGGTCATCGATTGCTGCTTAGCAACATCAAATCCCACAGCTTTGATTTTCATCGTTATTATGTACTTTCAAAAAATTTGAGCAGATGTAGGAAAGCTTTAAATTTAGCAAGTCAACCCAGAAGAAAATAAATGAACAAAATCTGTTATAAACTGGTATCCAGTTTCAAGTCTTCTTTTAAGGACTCTTAGGACATGAATAAAATTCAGTTATGTGTATTTGTGCCTCATTTGTATTGCCTCCCCCTCTCCCAACACAACCAAGATGTTACCGCTTGGTTTTCTTTCCTCAGCAGCTTTTTCCCCCCTTCCAAAGCATTCTTCTCTAGCTTAGAACCTATTCAAAGAAAAGGCAACCTGAAGCCTTCCTTGGGAAGAAAAACAAGATAAAAATATGAAGCTGATTCTATGACTGCACTGCAATGTGATTGGAATGAGTAATGGTTTATCATTCTGTTTGGCATCTTTCTCCACCTATCAAACGCGGGACTGTGCCATGTCTGCCTCGGTGAGGCGATATTACGACACGACCAGATAATTTTAAAAGAACATTACAGGGAGGGGGTCTCTGTATATTGTAAAAGGCTTTCCTTTTTCTTCGGAATCACAGGCTAAGCAAACAAAGACATCAACTAGAATTTATGATACAAAAACCATTTGTAGCAGCACAAAGAAACCTCGATCGTTAAATCACATAATCTGCTAACTAGAAAACAATCACTTAAAAAGAAAAAACAAGGGGGGTTGGGGACACCGGGCACGATTAATCCGCAGCAAAGGCTGCAGTGGCGTGCGGGTTCTGGCGTTTAGCCACGCCCCTTACGTCAGTTTCCCCACCCCCACCCCCCAGAGGCCCGCCCCACCCGCGGGGCCAGTCACTCTGCGTCCTTTCCTGCGGGAGCGCAGAGGGACAGTTCTTGCGCCTGCGCATTGCGTCGCTGCGCGCCTCCGCGGCCGCCGCCCGCGCGTCCTCGGGCTCCTTGTGCGCAGGCGTGCTCGTACTCCTTCTGTCCCCGCGGAGCAGGGCTGAGTCAGTCAGTCTGTCGGAGTCAGTCTTCCGAACAGGCACCGCCGGGTAGATTCGGAGAGCCAGCTGCTGGATTCTCCTGTGTCCCCTCCCACTCTCCCGCCCCACGTCTCTCTTCACCCGTCTCCCGCCCTTGCCTGTGGAGCCATGGCGGAGTCGTCGGCGGCCACCCAGTCCCCTTCAGTCTCCTCGTCGTCCTCCGGGGCCGAGCCGTCAGCGCTTGGCGGCGGCGGGAGCCCCGGAGGCTGCCCCGCCCTGGGGGCGAAGAGCTGCGGCTCCTCCTGTGCGGGTGAGGCGCGCGGGGCTCTGGATCCCTGGGGAGCGCGAGCGGCTGGGTCTCTGGGCGGAGGCGGGCGACCTGCCCCGACCGCGGGTGGCTTCACCCCCTTGGCGGGCATTTGAGGAACAGGCTGAGGGGGAGGGGAGCGAAGGGCCAAGCCTGGGTGAGGAAATAACGGGGTGTGAAGAAAACAGGTTGGGGTCGGGAAGGTAGTCTAGAGAGTGGGCGTTGACGCGGTCCCCCTGCAAGTGAGGGCACCGCAGTGGGGGTGGAAACGGAGAAATTTCTGGCGAGGTGCACCGAATGGAGAGGTGCGCCGGTTCAGGAGGCCGGAGAGCCCTAGGGTGGAACGGGGGGGGGGGGGGGTGACTTAGTGGAGGATTAGAGAGCTTCAGCAGAGGATTGTGACAGGTGGGTCGCTGGAGAGAGGATGTCCTTAGTATGCTGGGAGGGGTGGTGGTGGAGGTGGGTGGCGTTGCAGGTTTGCAGACAGGTGTTGACACTGTTACAGGGGTGGTAGTCTTCCAAAAACATCTTGGTTTGCCAGGAGGATCAGGAAGTTCTCTTACTGTTTTCGGCTAAACTGAATGCCGGATTTCTCTGTGGTTCTGAGGTAGATGAGGCGTGATGAGAATAGCGCAGGAACATTTGGGAGGGAGCTGCTGGTAGTCCAAGATGGATTCTTGGCTGCATCTGCAACACAGCCGGCTCTTCACCGGCGCATCGTGGGGGTGGGGACACGCAATCAGTTCCTATATTCTAGAAGATAATAAATACAGTCACGCCAAGCCATCACCATGTTTTGATTTCATGTTTTCGATAGCCTGTTCTCAATAGCAGTATAACAAAAGGAACGTTTGCTGCAGGGAAAAGAAAAATTCAGACAAAGACTGGGCTGCTTGAACCCCCTTCTCCCTTGTCTGAAAAGACTGGGAGGGTCGCTGCCGGCCTCCTTTAGTTTCTTTTGTATGCACGTCTGCCTGCTGGTGGGAGCTGACTGGCAAGCTCCCCTCTGCATAGATCTGCAGTGCAGATGCCTTCTGGAGGAAAAATATGCATCGCAGGCGGGTGGTGGTTCTCAGAGAAACTGAGTCTGGCGAAAAGCGGTCTAAAAATGAGAGGTCTAAAATCAAAAGCTTAGTTGTCTCCAGTGCACTCTTGAGTTGCCCATTTTAATGAACACTGTATTCCTGATCTTAACACCAAGTATATTCTCTTGTGTTTCCTAGTACTGTTCTTCACCTGTCTGAGAGCTTTGGTGCCTTACAGGATTCTCCAATGTGGTTATTGCTATTTGGGTAAACGGAATGGGAGGAAGCTTTCTGCAGATAAAAGGAATGAGGCAGCATATTTGGAACCCTGGTTCTGTTTAAACCACCAGCATTTCTCTTCCAAAAAATTTTGTATTCTGGGCTAACTTCCAGACGAACAGTGGCTTTTCTCTAATTTAGCAACTTGGTCCCTTGGCTTTAATTACATCACTACTTACTGTTTGGTTGGCCTATTCCTAATTTTCAAATTTCTGATAAAAATCTAGGTTTTAGAAGTTGGTCATTTGTGCTCAAGATCAGATGTTAAGTATTGAGGAATCAGTCTAGCTAGCAGTCAGGGAATTAAAATTTTAGTCCTGAATATGATCAAATGGTGGAAAATTATTACAAAGTAGCCCAGGCTGGCCTTGAATGCAGGATGATTCTTTCTTAGTCTCCATGGGAATAGGTGCATTCCAGCACACCTGTCAAGACTCAACATTTTTATTCTTTTAATGCACTGTCATAAAGGGATTTGCTCCCTTGGTGTATCAGAAGAATGAGAGCGTATACTGCCACCAAGTGAATTTTATATTAGCGATACAAACATACTAACTTGCAGTATTTTTATTTAACTTATGTTTCTGGTATCATTTGCTCATATTGTATGCCACATTGTCACAATTTTATTATTGCCATTTCTCTGTGTGTGGTTTTTTGCTTTGTTTTGTGTTTTTTGTTTGTTTGTTTTGAATATAGAGTCTTCTGGAACTCATTACATATACCAGCAGGCCTTGAACTTGTGGTCGCTTTTTCTATTTCAGCTTCTCAAATCCGGGGATAATAGGCCCCCAAGCCTAGCTACCATGTTTGTTTCTTTTTAACATACCGCTTTTTTGGTTGGTTGGCTTGTTTTTTCGTTCTTGTTTCTTGAGTCAGGGTTTCTCTGTGTAGCCCTGGCTGTCCTGAAACTCAATCTGTAGATCAGGCTGGCCTTGAACTCAGAGATCTACCTGTCTGAAGGCTGTGATTAAAGGTGTGTGCTACCGCTGCCCGCCTTTTAACATACCTCTTCATGGTAGTGGGAAAGATGCTAAAATGAGGCATTTTAACAGCAGTGAAATTTATATCTTGAAATAGTATTCTTAGTAGATGTGGTTGCCTTGCACTTTCCAAATAGTTTAAATTCCCCAAGATGACCCATTTTTCTTAATTTTAGTATAGAATTGTGACATCACCTGTACACACTTTGTTACTATTGACACTCACTGTTGCTGTCTTTTTTTCCTCCACTTGTGGAACCTAGGGCCATGTTGCTGCTAGGCAAACAGTTTGCCACTGAGACACACCCCTAGCCTACTATTGGCACTTAAAACAGTATCTGTCTGATGTAACTTCAAAAATACTCAATACATTTCTTTTGAATGAATCATCAGGTTTATAAGCTGGAAAGGAACACCTGGAATACTAAATAAATGGCCTATCATCAACTCCGCCTGTTGCCAATTTATTGATATCCAGAAAGCAGTAATAGTTTCAGTAGCCCCAGTGCAAGATTCTTGTTTGTCAAGTGACTACTTTGAATATAAAAGTCTAACTTACAGGGATAGCAAGATGGCCTAGGACACTTGCAGTTAAGCCTAACAACCTGATTAGAACCCTTGGCCCCACATGAGAAGAGGAGAAAACTGACTCCCATAGTTGTTCTGACCTCCAGAAGCACAACCCTCTGCCTTCCACACACATCATTTTTTATGTTAAAAAAAAATCTATGATCATGCCTGGTGGAGTACATTTTATTCGAACCCCTCCCTCTCCCAGTATTTTAAAAGCTGGACGGTGATGGTGCCCACTTTTAATCACAGCACTGGAGAGGCACAGGCAGAGGCGGGCAGATCTCTGAGTTCGAGGCCAGCCTGGTTACAGAGTGAGTTCTAGGGCAGCCAGGACTATACAGAGAAACCCTGTCTCGAAAAACAACAACAGCAAAAATCATTTTAAAAAGGCCTGGGTGTGATAGCATATAGCTTCAATCCCAGCACTCAGCATGCAGAGGCAGTTGGATCTCTGTAAGTTAACAGGCCAGCCTGATCTATTTAGAAAGAGTTCTAGGTCTGTCAATCCTTCATAATGAGATACTGTTCTCAAAAAAGCAACAACAGAAAACAAAAAGGTTTTATAAAGGTACTTCAGTGAAGCTGGATATGTGCCTATCATTTCTACATTTTTGATACCAAGGCAGGAGATTGACCAGCCTGGTGGACAATACTGAGAAACCCTGTCTCAAAAAAACAAAGGTACCTTTGACAAATAAGTCACCATTTTATTGTAGCCCCTTCCTCTATGCTTCCCTCTCTCAGAGGAAGTATCTCAAGGTTTGGCTAGATGAAAGTAAGATGAAAGCCAGGGTGGTGGCAAACACCTTTAATCCCAGCACTCAGGGAGGCAGAGGCAGGCAGATTGCTGTGAGGCCGGCCTGGTCTACAGAGCCAAGTCCAGGACAGACAAGGCTACACAGAGAAACCCTGTCTTGAAAAAAGAAAGAAAAGAAAAGAAGATGAAGTTTGTTATTCTAAAAGTTAACATTTTAAATAGTTCCTAAAAATTCTGCTGCCGTTGTAAGAAAAACATGTAAGCATTGTTGTCGGTCTTAAGCTTCAAGTTCCTCACAAAGCTCATCTTTTAGTTAAGGAAAGTATTGCTTAATGTCCTGAAAAAACAATTTTGTCATTTTGTCTTGACCAACTTGTCCAGTGATGAAGTTGAGAAATAGTTATTCTGGGTATAGGTAGAAATGAATAACAGCATTTTCTGGCTCAATGTGGCAGGTGCTAAAGCATAGCAATTCATAATGGTGAGAAGGTGAGGGGCCAGGATGCCTTCCCAGACTTCTGCTTTTGAAGAACATTGAAAGTTTCAGAGGTAGGCATTTGAGGCTGAGGTCAAAAAGACAGAAATATGTAACGTTCTTTTTGGAGTGAGACTTGCCCAATACCTATATTGTCTGAATTTGTTCTATTTTATGTTTGTGATTGCTTTTGCTTGTATGTACAGCTGTGTACAACATGTGTGTCTGGTGTCCTTAGAAGCCAGAAGAGGGCAACTCATGGTCTGGGACGACTGGAGTCGTTGGTTGCTGCGAGTGCTGGGACTAGAACTCAGTCCTCTGGAAGGGCATCCGGTGCTACTCCACAGTGCTACGTCTGAATTATAAATATGTTTTTAATAGTTCATGATATTACAATTTCACAAGTTTCTAGAGACTACTTTCATGAAAATCATGATGTCAAAGTAAAACTACATCTCACTTCATGAAATTAGCTCAAATAATAGCTTGGGCAATTGAAAAATATTTTACTATAACCATTTCTTTTGTCTCTCTTTAATCTTGGTTCTCTGTTCTGTTCATGGCATCATTCCATGCTTTGTTCCAACAGCCATTCAAACATTAACTATGTAATTTGGATTTAGAGTATTAACCCTTAAATTACAAGGATTCTAGCCATCTGTTTATGATGTCCATATCATATTTATCTCTGATTATCCATCATACATTTACCAACAAACAATGAGTGTCAAAAGATTACATGATTTCAATTCTGGCTTCTCCTTTTTAATTTATTTATTTAAATTTTGGTTTTATTTGTTTGAGACAGAAGGCCTCACTGTTTAGCCTTGGCTGGTCTAGAACTCACTATATAGGCCAGATCAGCCTTGAACTTGCAGAGATCCTCCTGCTTCTGCCTCCAAAGTGCTGGG